CCTGGCAAAGCTGAACACCAACTTCATGAACGTGACCCAGCAGCCATCAAGAAGCAGAGGAAAATCCACCAATTTCACATCCCCAAGGACTAGTTCTAATGAGCTTTCAATTTCTGTTGCTGGTTCCACTTCTTCCCCAGCCTCGAAGATGTTTGTAAAGAGCCCATTGAACAGAAAGCAAAACAATTCCAGTATAGTGGGAGAAAGACCAGCCAACGATAAATCAGCCCCGGCAAGCCCAGCTTGCACTGAACAGATCAACAAGCCAACTCCGATGGTGAGTCCTGTCACTCCTGTGAGTGTCAGAGCTGGAAAACTGTTTTCCTATAAGGAGGTTGCACTGGCACCCCCTGGAACGATTGTTAAAATAGTCGCAGAGCAGTTGCCAGAAGAAACGAAGGCCCCAGAGATTTTGGAAGCGGCAAAAATTGCAGTAGATGGTCCTGAACAAGTTAATGCTCAGGATGCTGAGAGCGAGAATATGCATGTGGCTACAGAAATGGAAGTGGAAAGCACTGATAGAGGTGAACGAGGAGGGGTAGTTGTTGGTGGATCGGAGTTGACTAATTCTCCAAAGGAAATCAAGAATGTGGGGGCCGAGAAGGCAGCTGAGGAAGCATTTCTAACTGAGACAGCCGTATCAAATGCAAGACAAGGAAAATCTGAGAGTGCACAAATGGCTGAGGATTCAAATACATGTCTCTTGAATAAGTCACCAACAGCAACTGATTCAAATGGCAGTGAATCAGTTATTGAAGTGAAGCTACAAAAGGATTTATCTGATGCTGAACTGAAACCAGTAGATGGCGAAACAGAAAATCTGCCCAATGGAGACTCAAGCCCAAAGTCATCAATAGCTGTAGATGGAGAAAAGCAAGACGCATGCGAGGCTCAAAAAGAGATGAGCAAGAAGCTCTCTGCTTCTGCACCGCCGTATACCCCAACAACCATTCCAATATTTGGATCAATTGCAGTTCCAGGATTCAAAGACCACGGAGGAATCCTCCCCTCTCCATTAAATATGCCACCAATGCTTCCTGTTAACCATGTCCGCAGATCTACTCCTCATCAGTCTGTAACAGCTCGAGTTCCTTATGGACCTAGACTCTCAGGTGGTGGTTACAACCGATCTGGAAACAGGGTTCCGCGTAACAAACCAAGCTTCCCCAATAGCGCCGAGTCTAATGGTGAGGCTAATCAATTCAATGGCCCAAGAATTATGAACCCCCATGCGGCTGAGTTCATACCGAGTCAACCTTGGGTTTCTAATGGGTATCCAGTGTCACCAAATGGCTATTTAGCATCCCCAAATGGGGCAGAAATAACACAGAATGGGTACCCTCTGTCACCAGTAGCAGGTGGATATCCGTGTGACATGTCCGTTATACAGCCTCAGGATGGACTTGTTTCGGAGGAATTACCTGGTTCTGGAAGCTCTGAGGAGAAGAGCGAAAGCGAAGAAGAAAGCAACAACGAGAAAAAAGCTGGAGAGGATGAAGAAGCCGTTGTACAAGAAACTTCAGATACACCTGAAAATGGACATTTGACAGTAGGTGAAGTGGAAACTACATCACATGAGACCCCTGATGAGAAAAATGGAGAACGACAGGGAGGCAAGTGCTGGGGAGATTACAGCGATAATGAAATTGAGCAAATTGAAGTTACAAGTTGAAGAAGCAACTGTCTGTCACTGAAGTATTAACATTGAGGCTAAAGGAATGGGGAGACATTTTGGCTCCAACGATGAGGTTGAAGGTATACAATCATCATAATCGAAGAAAGCATTTTTACATGTGAATGTTTTGTGTTGTAGCGCAGGACCAAGACTCGTCACTCCGGCTTTAACAACTTTTCTTTTGCTTTCAGTTTTTGGTTTCCACAGCTGAAAACTAGAAATATTCAACTCCTTAATAAAGATTTGCCCCTTTGTTTTTATTTTTTTTGGTCATGGCTAATGGCTTCCCAAAAAGAGAGAGAAAACCCTGAATGTTCATTCCTGGAGAGTACAGTATCTTGGTCAATTGCCCAGCATATCCTTAACAGATGAAAACATGATCAACTTGCAAGAAAAATGTGGGTCTGTGCTCAAACACACAGAATAAATACATTATGAGACCTTTTGCTCTGTAACAATGGTTCCAACAGGGTTGACAGCACTCTACTCACATTGTAATAATACTAAGAAGAAGGCTGCTTCTCCTGCAACATTCTGGAATGTTGTTCCAAGTATTCTTTGCTGTTCATCTCCGTTAATCTGTGGGACACATTGGAGATCATCAGTCCGGACTATAAACCAGAGTAAAACCAACGGTTGCTCGATCATACCTGCTAATGGTGCGGTCTTTAGCAAAACCAAGCTCGTTGTCAACACAAAGGTCGGGATCATCACTCTTCCTTGATCTTGAAGATGTTCTAGGCGCTACTTGCTGCGCATCAGAGATTGTCACTATTCTCTCCAGCAGTTCTAGAGGGCTACCTTCTGCCGTGCATAGAAGCCTGGCCTTGGTCTCATACATTACCTGTAAGTAATCTCAACAGCTGAGAAAGCAAATTTTTAAAAAGAGATTGAATGTAGAAAAGAGAGATAAAGCGAGATATACATCAACCAGGGTCACAAAACGGTAAGCTGCGGTTCTATTGTGGAGCCCGAAGATGGGTACACCTTCCAGAGCCAAAGTATGAAATTTCTCTGCAATGAAATTTGCATCTCAAGACTAAGCAGCATGTAAGAATTCAAGTGCAATGACAAGGTATGATGGCACTGGGGTTAGACTTACTGAATAATCCGAGATAATCGGCTGCGCCTAGGGGTCTATCACACAGCTCTTCAAAAAGAAAGTAGGCACATCCATCAGCAGCCAGAGGAACCTGGCGTACAACAAACAATAAATTTAGCAAAAAGGATCATGGGATTTCAAATAAGCTATTTAATGGAATGGTATCTGAAGGTTTTTAGCCTAATCAATCAATATAATCCATATGAAGCACTCTTCAGCACAAAATCGTGAACTGCAAATTGATGCATCTGTGAAAGAAGAAGTAAGAAAACCTGCAATTTCCTTCCCATTACTACTTCAACCACTTGAGGACCAGCCGGTTGATCGCCAACCAACAGCTGAAACTTCTGTTTAAGAAGGCCAGAGATATCCTTTCCAATGAAGTAAAAACCCTCTTCAGCCTGCACTCAAGAGTACTTAGTTATAAGATTGTAATCACGTAGCAACAAAACTAAGACAGAACTGAGAGATGTGAAATCACGTACAGAGGTCAGTTTTCGATAGTCCACCGATGAGCCAATCTCACGAACCACACATCTTTCCTACAACAATTGCTTCTCAGTATCAGTTACGCAGCATAATAGATCACATGAAACAAGTTCAGGGCGTTGATAGTAACAGGCATTTGCATTTGTATACCTTTAGTGTGGAAATAAACGGAAGGAATAGGTCCCTCTGTAAACCACCTTCATAGAGATTATCTGGAGCACGGTTTGATGTAGCAACAAGAATCTACACTTTTCTCCAATTACCGACATGTAAAAACTTTTAAATAACTATAGGTTTAGGTCCAGCAGGTTAGAAGAGTTGAAAAAGAAGAAGGTTTTATAGATTACTTACAATGCCATTGTTAAACAAGTGTCTAAAGAGACGGTTTAGTATCAGTGCATCAGCTACATCATTGACCTTTACACGAAGAAAGCAATAAAGAAACGTGAGGTTTCCCTGAACAAATTTTTAAACAGTGAAGAAGAGCGTCACACTCACATACCATGAACTCATCTATGCATAGTAATATAGCCTCGTCGGCTATTTCCAGGCCAACAACTTCAAGTGGATCTTCAAGACCCTTGTGCTTCTGCAGAAGAAATACAAATGCACAAAGAGTTGAGTCCAGTGGTTATAGGCAACCCTTAGCTTTAAAAAAGCAAGCTTGGAACTGAAATCTTACTTGCAGGCGGCTATGAACACTCAACATGAAATTGTGAAAGTGAATCCTTTGTGTTCTCCAGCTACCTGGCCTAACTCATTTTAAATAGGATCAGATGAATCCACAAAAAATATGTAGAAATTACATGAACTGTGATTTCATACTAACAATTGATGAAAAAACAAGTCCATGAGCATTGTCTTTCCAGTTCCTACTCCTCCATATAAGTATAGGCCTTTGACAGGAGAGATAGAAGAGTGAGACACAAATTTGTTCCAGAACCAATTAGTCCTAGTGGATTTAGCAGATGCAGAATAACGATCCAATCGACAAGCATCAGCAGATTGAACAAGCTCGTCGTAGAGTCTCTGAAGTTCTCTTAAAGTACCTAGCTGCAACAAAAAAAAAAAACAAGCTTCAGAAATCAATTGACACTAGAGAAGGAAACAAAAAAAAGAAAAGTACCTGATATAAATCTCCATCCAATAGCTCTCCAGCTACGATTCTGCGTTCATACTCCACTAACGGCCCTGCAATCTTCCCATCTCCATTGGAATGCGGAGACGAACAGAAGGAATTAGCCGAGAAAAGAAAGGATGAAGAAGACGTGCTGGGATTGATTAAGATCAAACAATTATGAATAGGAGCGAAAGCGTATCGTTGATGCCTCGAGAATAGATTTACACGGCGAAGGGAGAGAAGAAGCAAGCGCATGGTGAGAATGAGAATGATATAGAGAGAGAGAGGTAATCGGAAAACTCCAAGGTGATCGGAGGATGACAGATGCAACGAAGAAGAAGAAGAGTCGCAGCGATGCACCTCCCTCACTCTTCACCTGCTCAAGCTCGAACAACCCAAAAATGTGGACAGACTAAACCGAATCATTCCACTAAACCGATATTAACCAATTGAATCGGTTTGAATTGTAAAGTGATTTTAGGCCCATTAGTATGGAAGCCCAAGCGGCCTCATTGGCTTCTTCTTCTTCTTCTAGTAGTCGTCACCGGAGAGAAAAGTTGGCGATTTGCAAACTTCTTCATTTTCAATCGGGCTGCGTCTCCTCTTTCTCCTACCAAACCAAACATTCTCATCGTTCGTTTTCAGATCAGCCATGGAGGACGAGGTAAACTTTCATCTTTTTTCTTATGTATTTATTATAAACACGATTTAGCTCTGTTTTTTCTCGCCGGAGATTGTAATTTGTTAATGAGGACATAGAAGAATCAGAATTCTTTTTTGAAAATTCGACCTTTATATTCGAGATCTGATTCGTTACTCTGGCTTTTTCACTCATCCTCTATTGATGATCTGGTAGAGTGTTTGGATAGAGAAGAAAAACATTTGATTTCTTTGGAATTGTATAAAAGGATAAAGATTTTTCTGTCAAGTCGTTTTCTCAAATGCGTGGTTTTTTTTGTTGCTTGAGTGGTTTGTTTAATTGTGGTAAGATTTAGATTAAGAATTGAAAGAGAATGGAAGATGAAGCTTAATGCTTTTGTTGTTTTGGTGCTTTCTATTGACTTAGATTGAACTGAAAACTGCTCCTGCTGATTTCCGGTTTCCAACAACTAACCAAACGAGGCACTGCTTCACCCGTTACATTGAGTTCCACAGGTACTTTTGTGTGATTGAGTTAGTGACTCTTTAATTTATTTTCTAACTTCAACAACAACAACAAAACTATCTATGCAGGTGCACAACTGCAAAAGGTGAGGATTCAAATGAATGCGAGAGGTTCGCCAAGTACTACCGCGCTCTCTGCCCTGGAGAATGGGTTTGTACTTTCATGTTTCTGCTTCGCTTCTTATTATCATCATCTTTCTCTAGCTACCCACCTTCTTGACAAGGTATGTGATTATCTTCTCTCAGGTTGACAAGTGGAATGAGCAGAGGGAGACCGGAACATTCCCTGGCCCTCTTTGATTCAGACAAGAATCTCTCTTTACCATTTTAAGTTTGAGACCAAAAAGGTCGTGTGGTTGATGATGAAATCTAACTCTTTGTCTTTCATTAAGCGTTTCTCCTTGGATGATCAATTAAATAAATTGGAATCAGACATTCTTTGGATTTCATGTCAGAATTTTATTTGTCGAGACAATTTTATCACTTCCAACAAACTTGAGGGTGTAAACAATAAATAAACAAAAGCTTTCCTTTGTATAAGATTTTAACTTTTTCTTGCCTAGCTGTCTTGAAAAATCAATTAGAACCGTTTAGTTCCCAACAGATTTCGTAACGGACAAAGTTCCCATTTTTTTTGTTGCATAAGATCTGAAATCGGAGATAAAAAAAAATCCCTATTTTATTTCCGCCGGAGAAAATGGTTCAGTGTAGCAACAATCTCCTCGGAATCCTCAATTTCTTCACTTTCCTTCTCTCAATCCCAATTCTCTCCGCCGGGATCTGGCTCGGCAAAAATGCAGCTACCGAATGCGAACGTTTTCTCGACAAACCAATCGTCGTACTCGGAATCTTCCTCATGTTCGTCTCAATCGCCGGACTCGTCGGTGCTTGTTGCCGTGTCTCTTGCCTTCTCTGGCTTTACCTCTTCGCTATGTTCCTCCTCATTCTCCTCGGCTTCAGCTTCACAATCTTCGCATTCGCCGTCACTAACCGCGGCGCCGGCGAGGTTATATCAGATCGAGGGTATAAAGAGTATCATGTCGGCGATTACTCAAATTGGCTGCAGAAACGTGTCACCAATGCTAAGAATTGGGAACGGATCAGGAGTTGTTTGATGTACTCAGACGTTTGCTCCACTTATCGTACTCGTTATTCTAGCATTAACGTTGAAGAATTCTACAAGGCTAATCTTAATGCTCTTCAGGTTCACATTTTTGATCCGATTCGGATTTTTCTTTATCTGTGATTGAGAATTTGAGATCGGGTTTTAAAAGTTAATCTAGCTTTTTGATGAGATTTATGGATTCAACTATGCTTTTTAGTTTTTCCTCAAAAAGCGCTTTTGTTTTATGAACAAAAAAGCTTACTTTTTTCTCCCATGGAATCAAACACACAAAGCCTTTTAGGAAGATTTAGTCTTTAGAGATGAGTATCAAAAGCTGCTTTTCCAAATGGAGATGGATTTGTATCTCTTGAGACAATGTTTTTACTAACCACTTTTTTTTGTTTTACTTGTTGTGTAGTCTGGTTGCTGTAAGCCGTCCAATGACTGTAACTTCACCTATGTGAACCCAACTACTTGGACAAAGACCACTGGTCCATACAAAAACGAGGACTGTAATGTCTGGGACAACAAACCAGGAACTCTCTGCTACGACTGCGATGCCTGCAAGGCTGGTCTACTCGACAACATCAAGAACTCATGGAAAAAAGTGGCTCAGGTCAACATTGTTTTCCTCATATTCCTCATTATCGTCTACTCTGTTGGTTGTTGCGCGTTCAGGAACAACAGGAAACGCAGCTGGTATTAGATCTTTATGCGTTTGAAATAGCAGAGATGTTCTACAAACCAAGACTGAGACCAACGTACGATATATCTCAAGTGCCATCATCTTACTGTCAAGTACGTGAGTGCAGCATTTAAGAAAATTTGTTGATCGCTTGTCTTGTGTGTGTGAGATTGCATTTCAATGTAATTTATCTCTTAAATTTGCAACATATGACTAAATGAGTTACAAAAGCACTTGCTTGTGCTTCTATTTCGAGTCTTTTGTGCGTGGAGTGGCTTATACATTACATCTGTTGGACGAGTGAGATTTGTAAAAGAAGTTCCATTTCATTTTGCATTATTATCATCTTGCATTATTATCATTTTTACATTCTTAAATTGTCCAATTGTCAAAAATTTCCCCTTACACCATGTAGAACTAACTTCAATAAAACTCACATGAGAAGAGGTTCTAATAGCTCCGAACTACGAAAGGCCTTATCACCAATCATAATGGAAACAATGTCAGATTGAGAGGAAGTGGTGTGTTCATTTTCTAATTTCAGGTCTGTGGATTCTTCTTGATAGTCTTCGGATTTGCCCCAGAGAACAATGTAGAGACCAAGGATGATGGCCAAAGCGCCTAGCAAGCTGGAAATACGAGCAAAACAGATTATAAAAACGAGAATGAGCTTCAGAATGAAGAGGTGACAGTAAGAAAATGGCAAACCTCCCGAGGTAAGTCTGTTCATTTAGATACAGAGCGCCGAAGAACGTGACGATTACTGCAGAAAGAGGGTTGAAGAGGGCAGAGAAAAGAGGGCCTTTCTGTGACACGACCCAAGCTTGTAGAAAGAAAGATATCGCCAACTGGAATCCAGAGTATATGCAACAGGAGAGCTTCAAGGAGGAATCAAGCTTCCATGACGGTAAATGAGTGTTGCCTAAGGCGAGAGCCATGAGGAAAGAGGCTATGGTAGCCATGAAACATGTGCAGGCAGAAGTGTACAAGTGATCAGGACAGTGAGATGCAATAGGAACCTGAAGGATCAACCAAAGGGACCAAGCGAATGTGCTAATGAGAAGAAAGAAACAGCCGAGTAACCAAGAGGTGTTGTCTTGGTTGAGCAGGGCGTTGAGCAATTTGGGACCTCTGAGAAAAGTCATTGCCATAGCTCCTCCCACACAGACACCTGTTCCTAAGACCTTTGCAACACTTTTCATACTTCTCCTCTTTATACTCTCGAACCTGAAACAAACATCCAATATCAATAAGTAACCAATCCATCAATATAGAATCTTAGATATCTTAGATATAAGTATGTATGATGATAATTAATACAGACCCAACAATGATGGAGATAATAAAGGTGACGGCAGGAATAAGATTAGTCATGGCACAAGCCATGGATGAAGAAGACAAGTCAATCCCTTTGAAATAAGCGTTCTGATTCACAGTCACACCAATAACAGCCGTCAAAGCCACCCACCAAAAGCCTCTTACTCCCAGAGAAGGTTTGTTTTCTTTCCTCCTGTATTTACCATTCACATGGAACTGAGTGTTGTTCATCAATAATTTATCATGTGATATATAATATAAGAATGGTCCAAAAGCTGAACTTACCGAGCGGAAATGAAAGAGATGGGGCAGATGAAGAGAGTGGCGATGGCTTGACGGTAAACAACGAAGACGGTGGGATTGAGTCCTTCCATGAAAGCAGCTTTCGTGAAGAGTGCAACTCCGGCCGACGTAAACTGCAGCATCACTAACGCTAGCACCGCCTTGTATTTAGATATCTCCATCGCTCTCTCTCTCTCTCTCTCTGCCTTTTTTCTTTTAAGATATAAAGTCACACGACAAATGAATCTCCTAATATACGTCTCGGCTTGTAATTATATATCGTTTATGTGAATACAAAATAATCCATGTGTCGAGCGTGTGTGTGAGAATCATGTGATAGGAAGGATATTAACAAACCTGTTAGCCGCGTACGTTAATGAAATAATATTCAACTATACTGTTTATTAATTAAATCTCTAGAATATGTAAGCTTCTCTATTGGTGGAAAATTGGAATAATTGAATACCTTAACTAAAACTCGTGGGGATGATAAAAGCTTTTTACTGTATTTTGTTGACATTTCTTGCAAATGGACCAGCGACAAATGGTTTCAGATATTCGCGTTGAAAGAAACAACAAAAAATATAACATGAGTGATTACGGTTTTGAGTTTCCGCATCACAAAGTAAGCAAGTAGTAGTTATACTTTATTCTCTAGCAAAGCTGCTCCATGCAACCATGTTCTTGGAAAGCCAAAGTTGATCTGTAGCCCACTCTTACAGTACTAGTATATCTTTTTTTTGTTAAATACAGTACTAGTATATCACATGTACATTATAGATAATCCGACATTTATTCAATAATGTCTTTGTGATTTAATATACATATATATAGAAATATATATATTTTTTATTTTTTTTATTCTCTCGTTGGATTTTTTTCTATTCATTGTATACAATATGTAAGGAAAGATTTAATCATTGTTATAAAGAAATCTTTAACAAAAGAAAGAAACTAAAAAGATAAAGAAAAAAATTATACGTATGACATTTTCAGATTTGATTACCAATTATTATTTAGTTTCTTCCTAAATGTTGTTTTGATTTCACTGTATGATTTTCCATTCTATTGACAATCACGATTGAATACGTATCAACTAAATAAAAACATTTTTCATGAAACTAAAAATCGCCACCTAGCTAGGTTGCCTATGTGATGGTAATGCGTTGTATATATATACGAATATTTTAACGTATATTCTATATTTATAAAAAATACAGGTGTATTATCATGGAGATCAGAATTATGGAAATAGATAAAAGATCATATGCGTGAACATGTTATAGTTAATCAGTCTATTTGTCTTCTTATGTATCCCTCCCACCAATCGTAAGTAGGTTTCTTTCTATTATTGCTGAGATGATTTCTATACTTCTGTTGGTATTTGTTGACCAATAAGAATTGGATGCACGAGAAGGAGAGATATGAATCATAGGATAATGACAAAGACTATGACTCATGACACACATCATCTTCACATCCTCATTCTAATCCTTCCATATTTTCTAACTATTACTTTATTTGAGATAATCTTATATCTTTTAATTTACTACCACATCAATACATATCATCATGCATGAACTAGCTCTACTTGCCTATCTTAATTAGCTAGGTGTACATTACAACTTGAAATCCACATATTATTAATTCTTATTAGGTAACAAATACAACTCCCAATTCTTTTCTATATATCATCAACCAAAAAGAAGTAAGATACGTTGATTAGGTACATTCAAATGATTGATGATAAAAACGTCTATTGCGATAAGAACAATGATTTGTTTTCGACATTTATTTGGTCATTTGTGCGGTTGCCATTTCTTTCGGATAAAAATTTGAAAGAAACGTAAACAAACAGAAAACCATGGGCTCAAATTGGGCCCAAATAATAGAAAAGCCCATACATGCGATCCTTGAAGCTTAGCAAGAAGCTGAGGATGTGATTAGTCCGCGAAAAATGGCGTTTCTCTGTTCGTCTCTACCAGGTTCATCCTCTATCGCCATTTTCAGCGAGTCAAACACAGATGGATCATCACGCTCGAATCTTTCGATTCCTTCCTTGAAGTTCCGGTTCCGTACCGTCGCTGCTTCCTCACACATTTGTGCTCCAGCGATCGATAAGTCGACGTTCGTCATATCCGAATCGGTGTCAGAAGATGAGCTTTGGGCTGCAGCTTGTCTCCGAGTACGGACCTTCAACGAACTCAATCCTTCTGCTTACAATATCCAAGTCAGTTTCTTACTTAATCCTTGAATTAGAAACATGGTTTTAGGTATTTGTTGTATCATGAAGTCAACTCTGTTAACTGTGAATCGATAGATGAAATGAAAATTGATGTTGGAGCTGTGATTATAGTTAAGAAGATCTTATAATGCGGTAGAAATCGTTGTTATTGTGTGATTAGTTTGGTTTGAAGTTTTTTATGGCTTGTTTCTTATGCTGATGTTACAGTTTGCTGTTCAAGTTTCATTAGAATCATAGAAGATACTTGGCAGAGCGTGAATTCGAGGCGCTTAAGGAGAGAACTTCAGGGAAGAGGGAAGGGTTTACGCGGGTCGCCTGCATAAACGCTACCCTTCCATTGTCGCAATTATCAAGCTCTTCTGAGGATTTATGCTCTTCATGCAAGGTCTGTCTATTCAGTTGCTCATCTTTTATTACCTGTTCAATAGGGTTTGTTGCATTAATGTATCGTTCTCTACATTTCGAATTGTCATGTTCATTGTTACTTCCTGGTCTAGAAAAAACGGCAGTGATATGGATTTGTGCTATGCTTCATCTGTTTCTCAGTTTTCTGATGGCATAGAAGACAGAGTTGTGGTGGGGAGCCTCGATCTTAACCAATGTCGGTGGCTTCCTGATGAAATTGCTGGAACAAAACCAGAGGTATTTGATGTTGCCAACAATGCTGAACTTGAATCTGATATTGGACAAATTGAGTAGCTTAATAAGTCTCTTTTATGTTATAGGGGATCGGTGTGGATTTTGCGAGAGCATACTTGAGCAACGTCTGTGTTGCTAAAGAGCTGCATCGTAATGGAGTTGGTTACAAACTCATTGACAAGTCTAAGAGAGTTGCTGGAGAATGGGGTAAGAATGTTTAATCAAACTCCTTAGACTTGTCCAGTTGGAGTTAAAAAAAGAGTTGTGAATATGGTTCAGGCATAACGGATATGTACGTGCATGTGACGGTAGACAATGAAGCTGCGAAGAGGCTATACATGAAAAGTGGGTTCGAGCAAGAGACCGCTGAGCCAGCGTGGCAAGCTCGATACCTCAACAGGCCACAACGGCTCCTCCTCTGGCTATCCCTCCCTACTACCTCCTCATTTATGTCCTAGTAATTGTAAATCTTTTGAAATATCCAATTTGTATACTTGTTCTTGGCAATCAATAAAAGCTTTATAACTCTCAAAAGAAACACTTTTATTTTAAGGCTTCAGATTACAAAGTTATGTGATGTCTACAAAATCAGCATTCCATCTTATTAATTGCATAGAAAACACTTGGTTTGGTAATTTGGTTAGTCCACCACTGTCGTGTATAAATCAAATCACCCCTTGAAGGAACTTTATTGGATAAGATTTGAGATGTTTTCTGTTTTTTTCAATTTGTTGGTGGTGGAATAGAAAACGACGACGTTTGAGTAGCCTTTTGCTTTCATCCTCGAAACCAATATAAAAAAAGAGACGAAAAGCTTCGAAAATATGAAAGGCTTAGAAATGGTGGTGACGTCTTTCTCTTCACCGCCGTCTATCTTCTTCTTCCATGGAGCTGATACTCACTGTTCTTCTTCCAATGGACGCTTTGCGACTCCTTCCTCTCCTCTCGTGTAAGTCTATCTCTGAAATCCAGTTTTCTCTCCTGCTCGAATTACATTTTCCCCTTTCCCATATTTTGGTGGAAGTTTCATAATTTCGGAATGAACAGTGTGTGTAGTTTTCTGACTAGTATTTCCTGTTCTGGGTTATGGTTCTGTTGGTACCCGCCATTAAAATTCTCTGTATTTCCGTTGGAACATATAAAAATCAAAATCTAATTTGGGTAATTGCCACTAGTGAGATTTCTCTAACTGTGGCTTTGATTATTTCTATGTAATTGAATGATAGACCCAACTGGGTTAAGATGTGGTCTACTATTTATACCTCAAGTTCATCTCCTTTTGCCGTTATGTGTTGAGGATCCAGATATAATCAGTGAATAGTTTATTGTCTGGTAGCGGTTTAATTTCCAAATTGGATCTGTTTCATTCACATATCATCATACTTGTATTGTAAATATTTGCTCTTGCGTTTGGGACAAGTTTACTTATTGGTACCCATCTCTTCACACTCTTGGTGTATTGTTTAATTTACTGAATTGGTCGTTATTTTTAGTCATGAGATAAGCATTCCTCTTATTCTGCATGTTGCATTTCTTTCTTTGCTGTTCTTCTCATATTTTAATGACATTTGTCTATCTAAGTTGGTAATAAGATCATGAGGAAGAAGACTCCAGGCTTAGTTTATCATCAAGTCTTTTCATTATTTTCCCATATGAGAAAACAATTCATGGTTTCATCCAATTCAGGAGTCATTGATTGAATATTGTCATTACGTTTGATAATTAGATAACCTTCCACTATATTGGCCTCCATTCATGATAAATTTGTCTGTTTAATCAGAAAGGGACTAAGAAGACACCAAGATGCAAAGTTGGTGGGAAACAGAGCCAGAGTTGGAGTAGTTCGAGTCCTAGCAAACCCAAATGTATAACATTGACCCTTTTTTGCAGTTACAGATTAGATTCTCCATACGCAAAAGAACCTACGATCCATATAACTATCATACTTGCTATTCGAGTAGTGTTTTCATTCAGGACTCCAAGTCATACTCATGACATATTTGATCTTCTTGTTGGTTGATAAGACCATTGGTTTAAACTTACTGACATGCCGAGCGTTCTTGTAGGTATCTCCTCCTCCTCCAGGAAAAGCAAAGGTAAAAAAAGAGGTAATCATGGTAGACCCTCTTGAGGCCAAGCGGTTAGCTGGCAAGCAAATGGAAGAGATTAAAGGCAGAGAAAAGCAACAGGTGAGGAAATAAACCCTCTGGATGAATGATGATAGATTGTATTCAAAATTGGTAGAAATGGCACAGAACGTTATTCTCTCCTTTGATTTACAGAGAAGGCGTGAAATAGAGGCTATAAACGGAGCATGGGCAATCATAGGACTCACGATAGGGCTGGTGATCGAAGCCCAAACAGGGAAGGGTATCCTGGCTCAGGTATGTTATACTTATACTTCCTCAGTGTTGTTGAGAAATGAATGGCTTTTACTAAATCCTGGTTGCTATTTATAACTGCAGTTGGCTGGTTATTGGTCTGCGGTTTTGCATCTATTTGTTCCATCAACATAGAATCTCCCACAGTAAAGAAAAACTTTGACCATGTCTTGTTGAGTTTCATTTGGTTTTATCTAGTGTATTCATGCAAGTTGTTAAACACATCATATTACACACTTTGTAAATCCTCCTTTGTTTCAAATGTCAAATCCTGCTATTTGTAAAAGAAAACACAATTTCAAAAGTTTTACATTTAAATAAAATCAAACACACTTTTTTTAACAATTTCAAAGTATATTTTTTTGTTAAGAGTTTTCAATTAATATAAAATTGAAAATTACACAAAAAAAACTTAAAATATAGGCAAAATCAACAAATTCAGTGTACTTGGAGGAATGGCCGGCGTTTTCAGTGTACTTGGAGGAATTTCAGAGCGACAAGGAAGAATTCTCATCCTTTTCTATATCTTTAATTTCTCGAAATGCTAATGTAAAAGCGGATAATCTGGCACGAAAAATTCGTACAGAACCGCTTCATATCACATATGTAAACAACATTCCTCAGGAATGACTCTTTTGAGCTCTAATTAATTTCGGATGACAAAAAGAAAAAATCAACAAATTCAGTGGGCCGTTGGTGGGCTTGTAAGCATTTGATAATTAGGTGGGCCTTACATGTAATAACACTGTCTCTTCCATAACAAAAAGTAAAAAAAGTAAAAGACCGATTTGACTCCCGCCGCCGTCGCAACGTTCCACTCGCCGGCACAGCAAACAGCTCATCCATGGCTATCTCAGGAAGCTCCAACGGCTATACCACGGCGGCTTTAGCCTTTACACTCGCCGTAGTATCTGTATCTGCTGCCGTCTCGCGTAATTTCTTTCTCTCTACATCTCTGTCACTTCCTCTTCCCCATACCTGTTTCTCAGGTACTAGTTTCGAGAAACTATTTTATTGAGCTGGTTCTTGCAAAGTGTGTAGATGGCGAAGACGAGGACAAGATTTGGAATATAGGATTGAGGAACTTGAGAAGTCTTTGGGATCCACCATGGAGAAAAGTGCTTCTGAGAGAAAAGGTCGAGTTAAAGCTCAGCAGGTGAACTTCTTTAACTTGTACTTACTCTCCAAAATATATGAGTATAGATTCAAATCATATGAAATCATTCAAATGCACATCAAAATTGATTCTTGTCAAGATTGGAGGAAATCTCTGATGCAATTGAAAGCTGTAGGCTTTACGGGAGGCGTTAGCACAGACTGAGTCACATGATTTACACAGCACAATATACCCGTTGCGACCAATTGGCACTATACAGTCTTGCTTCTCTACTAGGTAAAATGATCCTCATAGCTTTCCAGTTTCAGGGGAGCTTAATGCTGTTCTAAAATGTTGGCTGTTAAGTGCTGATTCTTGGTTTTTTGCAGGAACGGGACACCGAGGCAGCCATTGCTTGTTTCTCTTGCGAGGGCATGTTTGGTCTTTGATCCGGCTTTGGTTCCTCCTGCGTCTCTTGAGGGTCTCGAAGAGTATTCTCATTGCTGGATACTATACGTGTTTCATCTCAACACTGATATCGAGAAGCTATGGAGAAAGCCATCTCAGTCGAAGCTCAAGGCAAAGGTACGTTTCTTTTATTTTGTTTGTTTCTATGTTATGATGTTCTCAGTCTGAGGTTTTTGGGGTGTTGTGAATGTAGGTGAGAGTGCCAAGGCTAAATGGGGAAAGGAAGGGAGTCTTTGCTACTCGATCCCCTCATCGACCTTGTCCCATTGGCCTCACCGTTGCTAAGGTTCTCTGAACGTAATCTAATCCTCCTGTGGTTAACAAAGACATATTGAACATCTTTACCAAAAGTACATAATAGTATTTAATCCATAGGTGGAGGAAATCCAAAAGGATAAGGTTCTGCTCTCTGGTGTTGATCTGGTGGATGGGACTGTAATTATCCTCTCCCTTGCATTCCTGATTAACTTTTGCTTATAAGCCTCTTGCGTAGTTCATTGATTGTTTTGGACAGCCGGTGCTCGACATCAAGCCTTATTTACCATACTCGGACAGTATTCAAGGAGCCTCAGTGCCAAACTGGGTAAAGGTATGTACATTGTTATGAATTCGCCTTTCTAAGCTTTTCGTCTATGTAACTGAATACTGCTGAGAGTTGAAGATCATTGTGGTTTGTGAGTAACTGTGTCCTTACCTGAGTTGGTAGAAGCAAAGATTAAAACAAATCAAATATGAATTTCAGGAGGACTGCTTATTGGCTGTGGCTTCTGTGACATTCTCAGAGACCTTCTCTTCCTCCATCACCAGCTGCTGGAAACTGATAGTGAGTGACTTTTGACCTGATCATCTCTTCTCCATTTACTGTTTTAACAAAATAGTTGCTATGCGCACAGGAAAAGAAGTCTCTCTATGGTTCAGCAGATGAGTTTAGGAGCTTGATCATGCAGGTCCTGTCATGGGACATACGATCAATGTCGCAACGGAACAAGCCACAAGATACATTGGATGTGGAAATCGTTTATCACTTGGTTCTGGAGAAACTAGACGTGTCTTACATGATAGATAATGAAAGTAATATTCTCGTTCAAGATGTTTCTCTTCCCAAAAACCTGCAAGATTTTGCCGGAAGCTGATATTTGTAAAGATTTTTTGGATCCTCTAGACATGAAATTTCGATAAGAGTAGCTTTCCCTTGGCAAGAGCATTCACCTTCTCTTACATTAAATACTGTTATAATTTTTTGTACATGTTTCTTCTATTGACAAATATCTCCGGAACTATAATGTTAACAAGCACGAGACTATGAAAACAGGAGTGGATGAATATTAAAGTAATAGACATGTACATTTTCCCTGGAGCCTTCTTCTCCACACAAATCGCTCCACTGCTTGAGTTCGTTCATCCCTGCTCCTTCTGCTTCAAAACTAGCAGCAACATGCAAATCCAAAACAATTAGCATTTTGCGCATGATTGCGAGATCGTCATACACGCTTCTTTCATGCCTTCCATGCTCAAAGCTCTCAACGTTATGTCTCTCTCCGCAGGTACTTCTTCTTTTGTTTCAGATCCCTCTTCACTTGCTCCTTCTGAGTTTAATGAGAACCACCATTTAGATATTGATTCAAGTCTAGATGGTTGTATCTGATCCTCTTCATTGCATTTATTGATCCTCTATTTGCCTTAGTACCCTCATGTCATCAGATAATTAAATCATGAAGTGAAGCAACAACTGCCTTGCAATGAGCTCATCAGATTGCAGCTCGGGTGCTCCACCACGAATAAATACCATACTAGTCCAAAATTTCTTTGCAACCATCCTTCCCAGTCTGCCAGTCATACTTTGTAGCCTGTGTCACTTCAGTCACACATCTCCAACTTTATAGTCCTCAAGTTAGCATAAGTGAGCATGACTATGCACCCCACTTATCCCCTTCTTCTTTATCATCTGCCACTCTTAGCAACCGTTTTGCAATATCCATGTTTGCTGAGCTGCTACACATGTAATCCATGACCGTACACGTGAGTTCTTTGTCGAGGACAACATCTTTATCCACCAGTTTTTTTACAAATTCCGTCAATTTGTCTGTTTCTCCCTGTGAAATACAATACTTCAACACAGAATCGCAAATATGAGCATCAGGTTCAAAGCCACTATCAACCATTTTGTCAAAGAAACTGATAGCCTCGTCTAAATATCCAAGTTTCAGGAACCTATTTATCAACTTCGAATAAGTAAATAAATCAGGGGAAAGACCAGCATGAGACATCCCCGCAAGAAGTGATTCTGCAGACTTAATATCCCCTGCTTTAAGACTTCCATCAATCATGATATTGAAAGAAACAACGTCTGGAAAACTGTCATCACGCTGCATTTCCTCAAATAATCTCCATGCCTGGTCTAAGGTTCCCTCTTTGCATAATGATGACAGTAGGCAGTTGTAGTCGAAAACACTAGGCTGTAGCTCAGACAGTCTCATTTTGCAAAGCAATCCTTTAGCAACATTAAGCATGCCAGTTTTGCAAAACCCATCAATCATAGTAGTATATGTATCTGAGTTTGGAACAATTTTGGAATTAGATATTTGTTTCCAAAGTTCCATTGCCTTATTTACATCTCCAGACTTGAGAGTGCTGTTAAGCAATATATTAGTGGTAACTATATCCCCAGCACCCAATTTCTCAACCAGCAAATCATAAATATCTAAAGCTTGATGGAGACGGTTTCCCTTGCACAACCCATGGATTAGCGCATTAAATGATATAACATCTGGATCCGTATAACTATTATCTTTCAGCATTAAATAGAGAAGCTTACTTGCTTCATCTAGGTCACCTTTGGCACAGAGTCCTCCCAGTAAAATGTTGTATGTTATGTTATCAGGTCTTGTACGCCTCTTCTTCATTAACTCTACAATTTCTAAAGCATCCGCTACAAGGCTGTCCTTGCACAGCTTGTTAATAATAATGTTATATGTCACAACATTTGGTTCTTCATCCTTCTCTAACATCAGATTTAAAAGTTGCAGGGCTTCCTTAGTCTTACCTACACCGCAAAGGCCATCAATTAGACCCGTGTACGTGTAAACATTTGGGCGAACTCCACGCTCCATCATAAACTCAAACATCTCTGAGGCTTCTTTCAACTGTCCTAACTTGCAAAAACCTCGAATAAGCGTGTTATATGTAATTGCACAGGGAGAATCTCCTCTTTCCAGAACCTCATCGAATAGCGCCTTTCCTCTATCTAACTCACCACAATCACAGAACCCTCGAATCAGAGAAGTATACACAATAAGATCTGCCTCTAAACCCTTATGTTTCATTTCTTTGAGCAAGCCCATCGCCTCATCCATCTTACCAGCCTTGCAAAAGGCATCTATCAGAATCCCCCAAGTCACCAAACTGCAAGAACAGCCACTGCCTTGCATTTCATTAGCTAATTGCAATGCTTTCTCTAGCTCTTTTCCCTCGCAGAAACCTCGAATAACCGTGTTGTAGCTAACAACATCAGGCATCAGAGAGTTTTGCCTCATTTCTCTCAGTAAACTAACAGCTTTACCAAATTCCAGATTCCTACATAAACCCTTTAAGAGGATATTAAGATTATACACATTGAAAGCAAACCCACGCTTCAACATCAATGCGAGAACCCCGTGCGCAAACCCGGTCTTACGCATTTGCACAAAACATTCAAGTAACCCACTCAGCGACACGAAATTGATGAATGTATCAGTCTCAAGCATCTTGCGGTAAAATGAAAATGCTACTTCGTGGTTTCTAGAGCGTACCAGCGTTGCCATGAGATTATTTCCGGCGAAAGCAAGAGAGCCACCGGAGTCGACTGCTTGCTGGAAAACTGAAACGGCAATCTTGAGCTGAGGATTTGAATCCTCACATAGCGATCTCAATTTGGCTTCAGTTTCAGAGAAGGTATTAACGAGTTTAGAGTACAGACGAGGGTTCAAGAGCTGTCTCACTACGAGCTCATCACGTCGGAAAATCTCACCGGCCGACGATGTCACAAATCTCATATCGGACGATCGGAGATTTTCACAGTTTAGGTTTTCCGATTAGACTCTTCTTTGCTCTGCTTAGGTGTGGATTATCCAAAGTGAAGCCCATTAGATATTTAGGCCCATATCTATTGGGCCAAAATAGCTATTGCATTATTAATCTGAAGCGGCAAAATTTGATTTCGCCGGAGAGAAGCGTATCTAGCGGCGGAGATGTTCCTGCGTGCGAGGACGGTGTTGATCGATGATCTCTAAAGCAAAACGCTAAAGGAGATTCAGGTGGTTCCGGAGGATGAAGGTTAATAGGAAGGCAGTGGAAAGCTTCACGCGCCACCGTCTCAAGGTATGCCCGGAAGAACAAGACTGGGAAGAGATTTAAAAGCGACTTGGTTGTGGTTAAGTCGAGGAGCTCATTGAGGAAGCTCGCGATGAGCTCACTTTTGTTGGCAAAATGATCGGTTCGTTGCACTGTTCCTCATTTGCAATTGAAAAAAACTGACTTAAAAGATTTACATTTTTCACAGTTAAAGTTTATAGGGATTTGTGTTACTTGATTTCTGTTCTGTGATCCATACTCTGACTTGTTTGTTAAAGATGCAATGCAATTTGTGTAGGTACAATGTCAAAATTGCAAATTTCATTATAATTTGAGCTAGTACTTGCTTTTAGCTATTGCTCGAACACAATCACATCTTTATGTTGTAATGCTACTGACAGTTTTGGTTGATTTTTCAATGGAGGTTAGTGTGGTTTATCATTTGTTTCTTTGCGCTAGTGTTCCAGATGATTGCGAGTGCGAAGTCATTGAGAATGATGCCCCGATACCTAAACATGTTCCGCAGCACCGTCCCGGGCCTCTTCCTGAGGAGTTCTACAAGACCTCAAAGCTGTAAATTCAGAATCCAAAACAGAGATTCCAGCTGCTAGCTCGAGCTAGCCGCAAGAGAAAGAGTGAGTAGATTCAAGTGTTGCATTGTATGTGCTGGTAAAATCCCAGTATCCATCTCACTTACTAGCTGATTTCTTGTGTTCTGTGTGGATTCTAATAATAATCTCATAAGCTACACATGCCACATCATTGAATATTGAGTTTTCAACTAGAATTAGTATAAAAATTTTTATTAGTACATCTCTAAGCAAGACATAAACAGTTAAACTTTATATAATAAGATACAAGAGATAGATTAACTGTACATGTTTTATTTACAAAATCTCCGAAATCAATGTTTAATATGATAATACTAATTAATGAAATAACAGAACTTATAAACACGTTTGAGAATATGTCATTGTAGAAGATGTAGATAGGAGTGGATGGAGTATTAAAGGAAGTAAGAGAGCTGTTCCTTCTTCCTGGAGCCTCCTTCTCCATACAAATCATTCCACTGCTTGAGTTCGTTCATTCCTGCTCCTTCTGCTGCAAAACTAGCAGCAAACTGTAAACGCAAAACAGTTAGTGTTTTGCGCATGATCATCGTCAACACGCAACTAATTCTTTAACTTACCTGGCTTTTAGCTACTTTCATGTCTTCCATGCTCAAAGGTCTCAACGTTATGACTCTCTCCTCAGATACTTCTTCTTTTGCTTCAGATCCTTCTTCACTACTCTTCTCTGCTTCCTCTTTCTTCTTCCTCTCCTGAGTTTTATGAGAATCCACCATTAAAATACTCATTCTAGCGCTAGAAAGTAGGGAAATAAAGGAAGGATTTTGAGAAGTTCTTACCTGGTCTTTCAAGCACTCTTGCTTTATCAGCTCCCTCACTGGTCGATATGCTGCTGTTGTGCAAAAGTTCTGTTTGTAGAACATTTACAATAATCAGTTCAAAAAGAGAAGATTCGGGTGTTGGTAAAGCGAGATGGGAATCGTGACAAACCTTGAGATCACTTCCACTATAGCCATCTGTCATCTGCGCAAGCTCATGGAAATCAAGATTCTCTGTTTTCTCTTTTGACAATAAGGTTCTCAAGATCTTCTCTCTGCTCTCGACCGATGGGAGACCCACCATGATTCTGTCTCCCAACAAAACAAAAGCAGAAGCTGGAGTTAGTACAGCTCAAGTTCAGGGTTTCAAGTGAAAAGGTGTACCGGGCCTGCTTACCTTCGCTCAAACCTCCTGATGATGGCTTCATCGAGATCAAAAGGCCTGTTTGTTGCTGCAAGAACGAGAATACGGTCACCAGCATTCGACATAAGCCCATCCCAATGTGTCATGAACTCATTTTTGATCTTCCTCATAGCTTCATGCTCTCCGACTCTTGTCCTCTGTCCCAGCATGCTATCCACTTCATCCACAAATATAATAGTCGGAGACACTTTGGCCGCAAGGGTGAACAAAGCTCTCACGTTCTTCTCGTCTTCTCCAAACCATTTTGAAGTGATTGTGGACATTGACACGTTTATAAAACTAGCTCCAGCTTCGTTCGCAATGGCTTTTGCCATCATAGTTTTCCCAGTACCAGGTGGTCCAAAGAGGAGGATTCCTCTGCAGGGCTTTAGAAGGCCACCTTTGAACAGGTCAGGCCTACGTAGAGGAAGCATGACAAGCTCTTGAAGTGATTCTTTGGTTTCATCCAGTGAACCTATATCAGCAAATGTCACACCAATCTCATTTGCTGGGATAACCTCTGGTCTTATGCGCTTCTCGAATTCATTATCAGGAGCCACCTCCTACATTGACAAGATAAAGAAATCAAACTTATGTTCAGGCAAAGACATCAAGATATCAATGTTGAATCATATGTACTAGTTTACATGTACAGGTGCTTTTGGAGGCAGAGGGCATTCATTTTTGGCTGCGGGAATTGATATTTCCGACTCATTTTTGTTTTCCGGAACAGCTGTCTCAGATTTTGACTCACTCTTTACTATCCCTTCACCTTCTTCTACCTGCACCAGATTCATTCACATTTTAGTCACTTAAAATTATAAAAGCACATGGTCAGAACTGTATATACCTTGGAGTCAATGTTTGTGTCCAGCTTCAAGGAGTCCTCAAAGCATCCGTTACCTTCCTGTAATATATTCAGTCCATGGGACAAGCTGTTGCAGAACCATTTATTTAGTTAGCTTAAGAAGATAATTACTTAGTTGTGTTAAAGAGATAATTGTATTTCTTATTACCTATTGGAAGATATTACAAGCCTCCCGTTTTTGTATTCGGGTTCTTTGTTGTGCATCAGATGGTAGGAGATTGCAGAAACCACAATTTCCTCAATGTGACTGCTTAGGAACATCGTATCTGCATGGCATATGGAACCTAAGTCATCACATTCAAGATCATTAGCCGCAAGAACCTCAGCTATGTGGTTCTTGTTGTCCTGAAACTGTATCACTTTCATGTCATCTTCAAATCGTGTTTTCCAGCTCATGAGTTGATTTTCATCCTCTGGCGGTCTGATCTCGATGTTGTAAGGAAACAAAGCAGAAATGCCCTCTCCTACTTCTTGACAGTCATCTTCGGGTTCCAATAGTCTTGAGCCGAGAACCAAAACAGGGCCAGAAAGCTTAGTCAAGAGCCTCTGGAACAACTTGTAGAACCTTTCTGACTGACAAAGCTTCTCAACGTCCCTTAGGTATATTATAATAGGATTGGTTTCTGAAATCGAAACCAAGACCTGTGAAGATAACAATCGTTCAGTTTAAGTATTGCACGAGACTAGAATCGTGCCCTGCTGATTTCATTTTAGGTGTTACCTTGTAAAGTGACTGAAGGAAAAGTCTCTCATCAAAGCACAAGTTTGCACTGCGTTTGCTTGAAGCTAGAAAGGTAGATAAACAGCAACACAAATGAACAAAACAGGTTTAGAAATCTGAAGTAGAATACAACTAGAATAAGACTTTAGAGATCTAGGCCTAGTTAAACGGAAGATAATGATTCATTTCAATGCTTTTACACACCTGAAACAGAAGTCGAAGAACGGGACGATATGCTACTCATATCAGAAGCAGCAGAAGCATTCCGCTTGAGTCGCGGAGGATGACTTGTAACGTCAAAGCCCCTGACGTAACACGTAAAAGGAATAAGTGAGCTAGCATAAAACATATAAAGTTATATTCCAGATTGATTAAACTGACAAAACAAACAAGATATCAAAACCAACACAATGTACCTTGAATGAAGATCGTTGCCACTTGTGTGCCTACGCAAGGTCCCTGCAATTTACAAGAATGCGAACAGTTAATATCTTTTGAGGGCAAAAAATTAATAAAGGCCAGTAATCTGATATTGTACCTCTTGTAGCTTCCTTTTGGGAGAGCATAGAGATAGAACCCATCAAATTAGACATTTTGTCCATTGTCAACTCAGAAATAGACCTCTTGTGAGACTATCAAACATTAGAGATGAAAGAAAACACAATCATGGTCTGTATCAACACACAAAATTAAGCTACACTACATAAGATCACAAGTAACTTACAGGTTCTTTCTTGACGCATCCGTACTTGCTCTGTATCTGTAACAATTTATAGGAAAAGAGGAAGCTTACAAGATGTTCTTTAGCAAACAAACATACTAAATTTGTATGCAATGAATCACCTTGATAGAGAAGTCGGTTATATCTAGTAGCAGTAGTTTCGATTCAAAGTAATGAGCCAATGCTTTTGCAAGCATTTGCTGATAGAATTCTGCAGAGTAAAAGAGAACAAAATTACACCAAAATCTGATTTACAAAAAGATTGAGGTTGGAACACAAAAGGATAGGAGATGTTTACCAGCAGGTCCAGACAGAAGAATGGCCTTACTTCCAGGTGCAAGATTACGCGTGTGCTTCGAGATATCAAACTGCTTTAGGTGAACATAAGCTGCACTCGTCAATAAAAGCCGAGTTTTCTCACTGCAACATCAAAAAGAAACATTAGTATATAACAATATTGTCCCATTTAGGCAAGATTTTCAATCTATTAACAAAACTGAAAGTTTTCATCTTCAAAAGCGCTCTATCCACATTCATAGATCTCTCTAGTCCCAAGTGATCTACAAAACTGAATTCTTGAACTCACTCACGAACATCACAAGAAGATTAACATCATGATCATTATTAATCTGAGACAAATAAAATGCAAGAAAGATAAGACAAGCAACGTACCTTAGGTAATAAGGAAACTCGTCGAAAGTGACACTACTCTCTCTGCCATCAACAATCTGCCTAACCAACTCTTGCTCAATCTTTTCTCCGGTAAGTCCATCCTCCGCAGAAATAGACCCGTTTGCCCATTTACCCAAACTCTGACCCGACGCTAGACCAATGCCTAAACCAACACCAACCCCTAACGCGGAAAACAACACGCTCTTCTGCTCCATTTCTGCGGAACAAATCCTCGATTAGCATTCCCCAGAAGGAAGGACAATCAAATATAATCAAAAGAATGGGTGTTTTGTGTTTTCTTGTCAAACAAATAACCTGTTCTGTTTTGCTCTCAAGTTTTTGTAGTGGAGGAATGTTATTTGGGGGGTAAATAAGATTTTGGTGAACGACGGAGAAGACATATAGGTTTGACTGGTGTGGGACGATCCTCCTCTATTTTTAGCAATGCTTCCATTAACTCTTATGGTCGTTAATATCTTTGCCGGGAAAAAACAACCATTTGGAAAATTCCTAATAAATTTGGGGGAAAAAAAGAGATTATTAATTTTGAGGAAAGAAAAAAAGAGAATAGATTAAATTTAAACGATAATTTTTTTATTTATTTTAAATAGTACATATTTGAGCAATAATTTTATTTGTTGACAAAAATGTTTTGGTTTAACTATTTCGATTTGATATAATTTGATTTTTTTTGTTTGGTTTTTGGTCGACCATTAATAAACGAAGAAGCTAGTTTCGTAATTAAAATAAATTTATACATTGTCTACCCTCTGCTTACCAAAAAAAAAAAAAAATTTATACAAAGAGAAAAAGTTTTGACCAAAAATAAAATAAAGATATAAAGTTTTTATTTTTGTTTTTAATCTTTTTGGTTCACTACCCTATTTCCTCCCATACAAACATTTTGAGGAGTGAGTACTCTCCGGCGCCGAGCAACAAAGATGGCTTCTTTCACAACCAACAGTCTCACTCTTCGCGCTTCAATTCTCGCAAACCCTAGTCTACCTCCTCCGATCCTCCGTCCCCGTCTCTCTCTTCCCCGTAAACCCTCATTCAATCTCTCCCTCCATAACCCTAGAACCATCGTCTCCTCCGCCGTTACCTCCTCGTCTCCGGTACTCTCCTCTAAACCCCCTTCTCAATTCCCCTTCTCCGACTCAACTAGATCGATCACCACCCTCGCTCTTCTAGCTGGCGTCGTAACCAAATCCCTAATCCAGAAGCTCTCCGTCGCAATTGTAAACCTATCCCCACAGATTCAAGCATCTATCCGAACAGCGAGTCCGTTGTTCTTCGCGTCGCTCCGTGACCGACCCGCCGGTTATCTGAACACGCCACTTACAGTAGTTGCAGCGGGGCTATCGAAGTGGCTCGATATATACAGTGGTGTTCTAATGGTCAGAGTTTTGCTCAGTTGGTTCCCAAACATTCCATGGGATCGTCAGCCATTGTCAGCCATTAGAGATCTGTGTGATCCTTATCTTAATCTCTTCAGGAACATTATTCCTCCAGTGTTTGATACGCTTGACGTTAGCCCTTTGCTTGCTTTTGCCGTTTTGGGAACTCTCGGTTCGATTCTCAACAACAGCAGATGATGGTTAAAAAGCTCTGCTTTGAGTGATGGATGCAAAGGTTATGGATCGTATCAAGCTCTGATCTTTCCGTTTATCTTTGGCGTTTATATTGTCTATAGTTACAGCATTTGGAAGTATTTATAAGGTAATGATGTATTAGACTCTAAAGTTTCAGTTTTTTCTTCTGCTCTGTGTTGTTTATGTGAATACACGAATTTGGTTTCAATACTAGAACTTGAGTTTCGAGGATATACGAAACCTTGGGGATTGTTGTTTCAGTTTGTATTGAAACAAGTAGATTGTTTTAGCTAAAGATTTATCAACATAGGAGATGATCATGTAGATGCTACTGGTCATTTGGTTTAAGGCAAGCCGTGAAACTGTTTCGATCTGACAACAAAGTTGAAACTTTAAGTCACGAGCAATCCACAAGTGAGTTATGTCGAAGCATTCTCTTTCATTTAGAACAAAAGAAGTTTTCAGTTCATAGAGAAAACAGAAACAAACCAAAAAGATTGCAGTTTCACTACTTCCTGCAACATCTAAAGCCATCACCAGTGGCACTCTACATACTTAGATATATATATTTGCATAGATAAGAAAGGTGAACAACCAGACTTGAATCCCTCAATCAATTATTATGGGCAGATCTTTTGTGGAACCATTTTGATGTACAACCGTTGGAGCTTTAATTTGTATTTTCGTTTCCACCCCCTCCTCAAGCACATGATAGTATCTCGGAATAGCAGCAGGGTTTAGCTTGAAAGACCTACATGGGATTCCCTCTTCCTTCTTTCCGCTCAATTTAACTGATTCAACTTTATGAGAGAATCTCTGCATTTCCCCCGGCGGGATCACAATCTTGATGCATCCATGCTGCTCAGCACGGTTAAAAACCGATTCAAATCCTTCAACTCTCCCCATATAGGCCACTAGAATGCCTATAAGATCGTCAAACTCGGAGATGACTTCCACAAAGTCGTATCTATAAGGAGGCTCGTGCAGATCTGGTTGACTGTTCCAACTTGCATTCCAGTCTCTGAAAAGAGCCCATGTTTCGCCTTTTCTCGGGTTCACAATGACATCTTCGGCACATTTGATGTGATCCATCTCATGAGCAAACATCAAATGGCTCTTGATCTCTGTAACTCCATATTCGAATCTCCCACAACCACTGAGAATAGACTTCTCATCTTTTTTAGTTTTCACATGTTCAAGTAATGTCACCTGCAAACTCAACTGGGAGTCAAAAATTTCCCTGATCTGGGCATAGGTCCTAGGCATATCATCTCTAGGATCATATAAAGCCCATACTTGATCAACAGCAAAAGAGCTCATTGACTTGCTAAAATCATTAAACTTTGTATCAGGACAAGTTAGTGGTTTAGGATCCTCATCAGTTTCATCTGTGCAGACAATTCCTTCAACGTCTCCATCATTTTCTTCCTGAGACTTATGTTTTTTGGCTTGAGGAGTAAGAGAATCAGCGTCACTATCATTCTTTACCAACAAGGGAGGCTCAATTTCAAGGTTGGATCTCTTCCGAGACTCTGCTTCTACAAGTTGTGGTCTTGATCTTTCTTCTAGTTCCATCTGCTTCAGCTCAAGCTCTTTCAGCCTTTTTTCCAGAGTCTTCTCCTTAATCTCAAGACCTTTTCTCTTCAGTTCAGTCTCCTCATTCAATCTGTCAGCTTCTTCTTTCAGTTTCAGCTCAAAAGCCTCCTCCTTTCTCTTCAATTCAGCAGTCTTCTCTTTGACAGATTCCTCAAGTGCCCTGAGCTCCTTCTCTCTTGCCTCATTTTCCTCGTTCCGTCTCTCAGTCTCAGCTCTTTGTTTCAGATCAAACTCCTTCTCTGCCTTCTCTAACTCACACAACTTCTCAAAAACCTGGCGAGACTCCTCTTTCTTTCCGTCAAACTCACTCATCAAATCTTCAAGTTTCTCCGTCGTCGAATGGAGAAGCAAACCAAGCTTATGCTCCTGTGTTTTAAGGTGTGTTACCACATCTTCACTCTGCTTCTCAAGCACCAATGTCATGATGCTTGCTTCAATGACCAATCTCAAATCAGACTCTATCTCTTTTTCCTCTAAAACACTTAACCTACGAGATATTGACTCTTCAAGCAAACCAATCTCCTTCTCCTTCATTTCAACCACTCTCAGTCGTTCTTCCCTCTTCTCCAGCGAGTCACTGACATCATCAAAGTGAAGCGAAAACTCAAAAATTGATGAAGCTTTTTCATGAATCTGGTCTAGGATTTTGATATACCCTTCACTGTTTTGCTCAGTAACGTCAGATTCTACTGAATCCCCTCCCATTACCATATTCTCAGAGCCGTAAACCCTACTTTTTAGTTAAAAATGAGCAAAAAAAAACAAAGGATCGGTCATTAAAGGAAGGAACTTTTCATGAAAATACGAAAATGAGAATGTACAGAAATAAGAAAAAAAGAGAGAGAAGATAGACCTCTCTCGAGTTTCATCTTCGGTTGACGGCGACGGTGGTTTCTGCTCCGGCGTGTCTTCTTCTCCGGGAAATAATAAAACTTTCGGTTTCACCATTTTTTTTTGGCTGTACGATCGAAGCCTTTGAGCTTATCCAGGAATTTGAAGAAAAAAATGTAAACTTTTTGGTAAAGAAGAATGGGTTCTCTTGCTTGCTATTTCTCTATCAATAAAACAAAGAAAAATAGAATGCTTATTACTGAAAATGGAGGGAGAAAGAAAAACTGGTGCTATTTTGTCTTATTGGAGCATGATTATAGGTGGGTTCTTAGAATTTGCTCTTAGCAATATTTAAGTAATTTATTTGTAAAAGTGATTGTTAAGAGATAGTATTTTTGAGTTAAGATTTTTGTGTGATTAATGGTAGGCTCTTAACATGTGGTTCTTAAAAAAAAAAAATTAATATAAAAAAAAAAATCATAATTATAGAAAATTTAATAATTGTTACAAATTAAAAAAATTAAAACATACATGAGATACAATTTATAACATACAAAACATAAAGCATAAATGTTTTAAACTTAATTTCTGGAATATTTTGTCCATATATGCTCGACCAAATCATTCTTCAATTGTTGATGCATACCTCGATGACGAACTCGAGCTCTATTGGTCATCATTCCGAAGAAATTTGAAGGCATATCTGTAGAATATGTGAAATCCACCCGTGAACTTCCTGCAGATTCCGCTTGTTCGAATTTGGTCGTATCAAACAGAGTATACCCATCTCGTTCGTCTTCTACTATCATATTGTGAAGTATTATACATGCTCGCATAATATTTCCTATTTTTACCTTATCCCAAAGAAGAGCCAGATTTTTGACAATGGCAAATCGAGCTTGCAAAACTCCAAAAGCACGCTCGACATCTTTACGGCAAGCTTCTTGATGGGTTGCAAATAAAGATGCTTTCTCAGTTTGTGGAAGTGAAATAGATTGGATAAAGGTAGCCCATTTAGGATAAATGCCATCCGTGAGATAGTAACCCAAATTATACTCGTTCCCGTTGACTGTATAATTCACTGTTGGTGCTCGCCCTTTTAAGATGTCATCAAAAACTGGAGAGCGATCTAGAATATTGATATCGTTTAAAGTACCTGGAGGTCCAAAAAACGCATGCCATATCCAAAGATCTTGGGAAGCTACAGCCTCTAAAACGATCGTTGGTTTTCCAGAGGCACGTGTATATTGTCCTTTCCAAGAGGTAGGGCAATTCTTCCACTCCCAATGCATACAATCAATGCTTCCCATCATCCCGGGAAATCCTCGAATCTCTCCAATAACGAGTAGCCGTTGAAGATCTTCTGCAGTGGGTTGTCGTAGGTACTCATCTCCAAAGCAATCAATAATTCCGTCAACAAAATGTTCCATGCACTTCATCGAAGTGGTTTCACCAATCCGAAGATATTCGTCAACCGCATCAGCTGCCAAACAATAAGCAAGCATACGAATTGCTGCTGTACACTTTTGTAGTGTAGACAAACCGTTTCTTCCTGTAGCATCTCTTTTTTGTTGAAAGAACGGAATTGTGGAAAGTCGATCAACAACACGCATGAATAATGGCTTATTCATTCTAAAACGGCGTCTGAATAGATTAGGAGGGAAAGTTGGATTTTCTGCGAAATAGTCGTTCCATAACTGGATGTGTCCTTCTTCTCGATTTCTTTCAATATGAACTCGTTTTCTCCTCGGTTTTGCGGCTTGTTGACGATGCCCGTAAGAGTCCAAAGAATTATCCAACGCTTGTTGGAAAGCATTGGATAATTCTTCGTCCAACGCTTCTTCGAAATTGTAATTGGAAGATGATGCCATTTTGTATGTATAATTTTTAGGAAGAAAAAGATTTGGGTTAAAAACAAGATATTGAAATGCTCTTGAAATGGTTGTGAAAGATATTGTTGGTTTTAGATTTGGTATAACATTTGGATGTTTTTTGGTTGTGACTTTGTAACCAAAAAAAAGAAAGAAGACGAGATAATTCAATGTGATACTACAAGTTGATATTTATAGGCAATGTTCCTAAATAATACATGGTTACAAAGCAAAGAAGACATGTGGTGCAAAGCATCTTGAATACTTGTGGTTACAATTTCATTTCTTTTTGAATCCGTGAAACAAAGCATATTGAAAACTTCTGGTGCATTTTGTCCTCTTCTGCCATAGTGCCATCCGTGACTTGTCCTCTTCTGCCATAGTGCCATCCGTGAACCTACACAAGAGTATACGAAGTTAGAAACTGCAATATATATTGAAACAGAAAGTTTAAAGACAAAAACAAAAACTTCATTAACTTTGTTAACACATATTGAAACACAACAAAAGTAATTGAAACATAAACTTCATTAACTTTGTTAAAACAGAAACACAAAGACAGTAACACAAACACAGAAATACAAAGACATAAATACAAACACAATTCAAGTTGAACTTAGAAATACAAACACAAATCAAAGCAAAATATCCCTAATTAACTTTGTCTTTAGTTGTTCTTCAATTTCAGTTAGAGGATCTGATTTAGATAATAGAGATTCTAGCAACTTCTTGTTAGTAAGTTCCTTTTTGAAGGCATGTTCTTGCTGCTTCAAGGCAAAATCTTTTTGCCTTATGTCCCATAAAGCATGTATCCTCTCTACAGCCTCCCCTTCTTCTTCTACAGGTGGTGCAGTTGTGGCAGTCTTTTTGCCTTTTGCCTTGGCAGCTTTAACACCAGCAGGACGAGATTGAGATGCTTGAGACTCACTGTGGGCTTGGGAAGCTTCAGAATCAACCTTTCTTCTTTTATTCTTGACAGTCACTTTGGTGGACTGCTCTTGACACCACTTCTGATCGTGTCGCAACTCCCTCCATGCATGCTCTAAGTTGAACTTCTTGTCGTAGTCAGCCTCATATATTTGGTGCGCAAGCTTAATCAAGTCGTCATCATTCATACCACTAGACACTTGAGTTGCTGCAGCTTGGAAAGAACCCACAAACTTACAAACAAGCTCATTTATCTTGGCCCACCTTTGTTTAAAGTGGGTTGGCTCTCTCACTTTCTGACCAGATATATTGGGACTAGCAGCGAAATAGGAAGCAATCCTCTTCCAGAAGGCTGTTGCCCTTTGCTCATTGCCAACAATTGCATCTTTACTCGTGTTCAGCCAAGCAGAGATTAAGACTAAATCTTCTTTCACAGTCCATTTGTTCCTCTTTCTTGGTGTGGATTTGGCTTTGGCACTTCCACCTTGACTTGTAGCATCTGCCCATTGGGTGCTGTAGGCAGGGACTTCGGAATCACCAAGTCTAATACTTGGTGATGCTGACTCATAAGTATTGGAGAATGGACTAGGCGTTTCTTGTTGACTTGTTAACAGCTCCATGAAGTTTCCAGAGTTAGTATATGGATTCATTTAGAGAGTTTCAGAGGGTTTACAAAGTGAAAGAAAGAGATCTGCTGGAAGAAGTAAAGAAACAGAAGGAGAGAATGAAAGAAATTTCTCAGAATATGGAATAGAATGAGAGATTCTGAGAGTTTTAAAAGTGTTATCAATATAGGGTTGGATTTATTACAGGGTTATTGTTTATTTACAGTTGAAGTTAGCATTCAATGGAAGACTATTTATAAACCTAATGAAAAGCAAACAAGCATTGAACACATACAAGTATAATCACTACACAAAGCATTTATCTGATGTAAACATTCTAATTTAATTTCAGAAAGACAAATAGCAAACAATTAAAGACACTCTAAAAGCATTTATCACAAACTGACACAACCAACAACACTCAAGTCTCACAAACTGACACAACCAACCAACAACACTCAAGTCTCACTAATAACATTTGATCCTCACATGAAGAGACGTTTACTTGTTAATAGCTAAAGAAGAGGAGCCAATTCAAGACACAAACTCACCAAATGAGATATCATCATACACTACCCACATTAATATTCAGATGAGTAAATGAACTTTAGCTAAAGAAGAAGAGACGTTTACTTTCATCAAATCTGTCATAATAACTAAGCTAAATCTAAATACACAATACAAACACAGAGAACATTTTATGTACCTTGAGAAGAGTGAGATCAGAAGCTAAGATGTCCCTCTACAAGCATCCTCTAGCAGATTCCAACTCTCCAAGCATCTCCATATACTCCTAGCAGTAAAGCAGAGAACATTTTATGAAATTACATAGATAAACTAATCAAAATCAAGAGGAAAACATAGAACATTTGGGTTTAATCATGCCTAAACTAATCACACATTAAAGATCTCTAAGAAACCAAGCAATCATGCGTATAGCAACAAAAACTAATCAAACTCATGAGCAAAACTAAGATCTAACAGAGAATTACTCGAAACAATAATGTATAACTGATGAACAAAATAATCTCTACCAACAGTCGGGTTTAATCATGCCTATTTCGTGATCAATCAAGCCTCTCAATACAAACAGACACTCAGTTATGATTCAAATTACCCAGATTATACAAAGAAAACGAATAACCCTAAACCCCAATTGGACAAACCCTAAAATCCCAAATCCGACAAATCCTGATTTTGAAAACCTAAAATCACATCAATTCAAACAAACATACACTCAGTTATCATTTAAATTACCCAGATTATACAAAGAAAACGAAAAATAACTTTTTCCCCAATTCGTCAAACCCTAATTTCTCAAATCCGACGAGTCCTAATTTTAAAAACCTTAAATCACATAAATTAACACAAACAAAGAGAGATTCCTACCTTGACAAACAGATTCTCACCGGTTTCGAATCGAAACTCGACAGTCGCCTGAATTTAGGCCCGATTTCTTCACCTCCGATTCGCCGATTTTGTGAAAAGAGAGAGCCCTCGACAACCACCGTTGCTGGGGATGATGAGGTCACGCGGAAACGACGGCCAGAGGTAAAAACAGAGCCGATTTCTCCGATTTTGGGTCGATTTAACGGAATCGCCTTCGTTTCGATTTCATCGTTGAAATCGCGAGAGAGAGAGAGAAAGAAGAGAGAGACGGCGAAAAAAAGAAGAAAACAAGGTTTCGTTTTTTTTGGGGTTTATATATTTTACGCTTCGATCGCTGATACGCTGACACGTGTCCACCTCTTAAGTTTGTTTTTGTTCCTTAGCTAAGGAACGTCTCTTACACATAAAGCACCTTCCAAATTAAATTATATTAAGATTTCTCTAAGAACCCTCCTATAATCATGCTCTTACCTTAAAACTACAGCTTTCTTTTTTGACTGTTCGATTGGACTTTTTTAAGCCGTTGGATTAAGACGTCAGATTTCTGTTGACCCCCGGCCAATGGGGTTTTGTAACCCCCGTTGGACAGAGAGATCATGAGATTTGTGAAAGGATCAGCTAAATGGGCTTCGTAGGTTTTTTAGCCCATTAAAAGGTTTATAAACAATTGGAACCAGTCAGCCCAATATTGCACAACCAGTTTCATTTTCTAAAGTTATCATCACCATAATTATAAATTTCAAGATGGCAAAATTTTATTGTTCCTATGACATTGTTCGGTATATTTATCAAACCTTTAAGCACATATACATACTATGGGACATGGGTGGACATTTCAGTTTTTTTTTTTTTAGTTTGGATGGTTTGGATTCGATTAGTTATAAACAACTTCTTCTTTAGAAACAAAGTTGTGGGGGTTGTGTTTGCTGGTACTACCGTTCAAATCTCTGCATCCGGTCGTTAGCAGGTTCCGATCCACTCCTCCGATGATGGATCTGTTTTTTCCGTTTCTCCTTTTTGTATCTGTCTTCTGTTTTTTTAAAGCCCAAGACCTTGCCCTTTTTTTGGAAGGCCCATTTTCGATATGTATATATAATGGTAACTAACAAAAAAAAAAAAAAAAAAAAACAAAGACCATTCTTTTTGGAAAAAAAAAAATACCATTCAATATAAGTTGGATCATGTTATTTTGACTACTAGGAAAAAAAATACTAGAATATTAACGAATATACGGAACGGATACTAAAAATCCGCAGACGCGAGTAAACGAAAGTGCAAAGCCGCCTCTTTTATTGACTGCTTGACTTTGGAGTCCCACTAGAATTCTAGAAAAAAACATTATCTCTACTATTTGTGTTTTAACTTCTTTGCATATTCTATTCTAACATTTTTGTACGATTCAATTTCAAAGTATTCTTCTTACTGTTGTACTTTTGGATTAACGGGCTCTTTTAGCAAAAGCCGGGGACTAGTTTAAGAATGGAGATCATCACTTGATCATATTGGTTACAGGGGCGGAGCCACATGCATGATAATGGGGTCACTTGACCCCAATAGAATTTCTGAAATCATAAGTACTATTAAGCATTTGTTTGATAACTTGGTTTGGTCTACCGTATTTGACCCCATCCCGTGAGGATGACTGCACCCATCACCGTTCATTTTTTTTTTTTTTTTAGTTCAATTTAACTCCCTTATTTATTAATCATGCATTGATTACAATTTACTTTGAATATTATCATTAGTAAATGTAAATTTTCTCATATTCCTAGTTTCCTATAATGATTTGTTTCCTTTATTTTACTTGGGTTTCTTTTTCTTACTATAGTTTTCCTTTTACTAGAAAGATTTCTTTTCGTACTTACCTTTTTGAAATTATTTATACACTCTTCTTTAACATTATGTATAGTAACTATATGAAATTATTTATACACTCTTCTTTAACATTATGTATAGTAACTATATCTGCAATTATTGCTTTGTTTGTAGTTTGCTGGGCTCTGCTCTGTTTTCTTATTTCCTTGTTTTATTATGAACCTCTTTCTTCGTTATAATGCAAGACGTTAAAAAAAATTAAAACTATATGTAATTTACTAAAAAAATCAGCAAATACAGAAAATCTAATAAATGATTTTTTCTAGGGTTAAAGAAACAAACAAATAACACATTTGTAGTTGAGTTTTTAATTTTTTTTATCGTATACACGCTATGACGGTTTTTATGCATACAATTATGACCCCAACAAAACATATTTCTAGCTCCGCCACTGATTGGTTAAGCTGTAACTGGACAAATACAACAATTAAACAAGTGAATGTAGAGAGACAACAAGTAATGGTCAAAACAAAACTGCTCTAATAAAAACAAAAAAGGGAAAGACAAGATACTTTATCTGGACAGCACAATTAATATCTTTCATTCTGGCCCACATATTTTACCAAAATATCCTTTTTAGAGAACTTATTTGACTTCACATACACAGAACAGCCAGCCACACCGACTTACTACTCCTCTGTTCTTTCTAAACACTGATCAGATCTACATTTTCTGTTTCCGTCGCTTTCTCTTCATTTTCTGTAAGCATTTTATATACTTATGTGTATGTGTGATTTACATGGTTTTATTTTTAATACGTTGTTTATATATAACTAACCCATTTGCAAAGTTGGATGTGACGTTTTATTTGGTTTATATGTGTTTGGATCTTTATAAATATAGTTCCAAATTTATGTACTAAAATAGGGAAAACATGAATAATCCAAGACCGGTAAGTCCTTTGGTTTCTCCAGCAAACCACCCAGATCTATTAGAAAATCAACGTCAATCCAGTTGCGGAGAATTCTCAAGATTAGAGAAACGAAACGGAGCAAGGAAGATGATGAAGTTTCATTCCAAGTCTATGCCCCGAGGTGCCATGTTTCTTGATCAAGAAGCTTCTAGAAACTTCCATGACAAGAGGTATGACCTATTCAGGACCATGTCCGGGAAGCTCGAACGTCAGATATCGAATTTACGGGGGAAACCCACTGAGTGTTCGTTGCAGGATCATAAAGAGATCACTGAATCTTTAACCGCTGATAGATACTTTGATGCTCTTCAAGGCCCCGAACTTGAAACTCTCAAGGTATTATATTATTCATTTTTGCTGCTTATGCTTTGATTTATTCTTATTTAATTTGGTTAATTACTTCCATTTAACAGGAGAAGGAGAAGATAGTTTTGCCAGAGGACAAAACGTGGCCGTTTCTTCTGCGGTTTCCAATCACATCGTATGGGATGTGTCTTGGAGTAAGCAGTCAAGCCATCATGTGGAAGACCTTAGCAACCACAAACGCCGAGAAGTTCTTGCACGTGACTCAAAAGATCAACCACGTGCTCTGGTGGATCTCCCTCCTTCTCCTCCTCGCCGTCTCTATCACTTACCTCCTCAAAACCATCCTCTACTTTGAGGCGGTTCGCCGTGAGTTTCGGCATCCAATCCGAGTCAACTTCTTCTTCGCTCCTCTCATATCAGTCCTCTTCTTAGCGCTTGGAATCCCACACTCCATCATCTCACATCTTCCCTCTACACTTTGGTACTTCCTTATGGCTCCCATCTTGTTTCTTGAGATGAAGATTTACGGACAGTGGATGTCTGGTGGACAACGACGCCTCTCCAAAGTCGCAAACCCTACAAACCACCTTTCGATTGTTGGTAACTTTGCCGGAGCACTTCTAGGAGCATCAATGGGGTTGAAAGAAGGACCAATGTTCTTCTTTGCTGTGGGATTGGCATATTATGTGGTCTTATTTGTGACTCTCTATCAGAGACTTCCCACTAACGAAACCTTACCTAAAGAGCTTCACCCTGTTTTTTTCCTCTTTGTGGCTGCACCGGCTGTCGCTTCCATGGCCTGGACCAAGATCTCTGCCTCTTTCGATCTCGGCTCGCGCCTGGCTTACTTCATCTCCTTGTTCTTGTACTTCTCTCTGGTAAATTTTATTTTCATTAACGCAGTTTTACTGAGCTAAGTTTCTTGTGATACAAGAAACGTTAACTGCTTTACTTCTTGTGATTCTTGTTTCAGGTTTGTCGGATTAACTTTTTCCGCGGATTCAAGTAAGCTGTTTCTTCAACTGCAAGTATCAAATTTACCAAACCAAATTACGTAGATGTTATCTGACATAATTATTGCAAAAATATCAGATTCTCGCTAGCTTGGTGGGCTTACACGTTTCCGATGACGGCAGTGGCCAGTGCGACGATCAAATATTCAGATGAAGTTACGGGAGAAGCAACTAAGATACTGTCGGTTGTGATGTCGGGAGCAGCAACTTTGACAGTGATAGGTGTGCTTGGGTTGACGGTGATGCATGCTTTTGTCCAACGCGATCTCTTCCCCAATGACGTCGTCATTGCCATAAGTGCAGAGCAACCGAAGCAGAGGAGATGGTTTAAACAGCTCACAAAAGAAAGTCAAATAGATCTAGAATCTCCTCCTTTAGTAAATGTAGATAGTTCCACGGTGCAGAATTCAAATTAACAAAAAAACATATGTGACGAAGAATGTCTGATTAAAATTGGCTAAATTATTGTTTTGAGTAGTTATCTTCTTCTTCTTTTTGGCATCAAGATTGTAAAATTTAGTTACATACCATTCTTTTTACTGATGATAAATTACTTCTTCATTTTCAATAAACTTCAGCAGAAATATAACAACTAAAATCACTTTGGCCTTATTCTTTCGCTAGATTTAGTTATAGTATTGTTTGATTCAATTAGTAAAAACTATTTGTTATAAGTGATAGGCAATCTTAGTCACACCAACCGCAACCTTCACAATTCCAGTCTTAACGAGTGAGGTCATATTTGGTGGAAATAATGTCTAGCTTAACATCAATTTGTCGAAAATATCTTAATGTGATTGTACATACTTAAATAGTTATGTTAATCCATTCCATATTTATATACTATAGCACCACCAAAACGAATCATCTTGTCACACATATATCACCGTAAAGATTATACAAAAACCATGTAATAACATCTTTCACATCACGTTTAGGAAAAAAAACATCCTTCACAACACGTTTGATATCTTCACATGGTCAATCTTGAAAGCAAAAGTGAATTCATTCAAATGGCGTCAAATGATTCGTCCTACAAAACTCTCAGCCGTCCGATCATACGACTTTTGAGAAAAAACCACTTAAAACGACGACGATTCGACGCTAAGGGAAACCATCGGCGCCACATGATGATGATGATACGAACAACCGCGTTTTTTACATGCCGTAGGTAGAACGCTAAGTTAGGCCCACCCAGAAAAGTTAATACTATTAATTTTTTAAAATAAAGGAATCTTTAAGAATAAAAAGCAGAGAGAGTCCACTAAATCAACGAACCAGAATCTCTCCGCACCCTATTTATTGTGGTCGCGACCACACAACATTCCAACTTCTTCTTCTCCTCTTCCGTTCACCACCCTTTCTTCTCCAACATTCGAAGAACCAAAACCGAAACGAGAAACGTGAATTCGCAGGTATGATTTTGGATCTTCCTCCCGTCGTTATAGATATTTCTCGGTTTTGATCTGACACTTGGATTGGTTTTAGATTGCAGACCCTTCAATTGGATTTTGGATATGGCATCGAAACGGATTTTGAAGGAATTGAAGGATCTGCAGAAGGATCCTCCTACTTCATGTAGCGCAGGTACCCCTTTTTTTGAGTCGCTTTAATTCAATAATTGTGTTGCTCTTGCTGATTGTTGATGGATCGTTGGTTTTGATCTTCTTCTGAGCTGGTTTTTTTGTGTGCGCGACGGTTTAGTATTGGTCTCTCGTTAGTTTAGATCATAGATTATCCCTGATTTTCGGGTAATTCAGCTGCAATTCATAATTTCTGATTCATAGTAACACTTGTTTGTGATTTTTCTGGGAATGAATCATAGTCAAGGTTCAAACTTTTGTTTGATTTGTTGTTAGATCTGGTTTCATTTTGTTGATTTTCTGGGAGGAGATCTTAAGATAAAAACTCTGTTGTTTTGTTCTAATTTTTCCCTTTTACCAACTTATTATCTGCATGTTGTTGCTCTTATGGTTTTGATATTGAAGTTTTGTCTAAATTTTGACAGGACCCGTTGCGGAAGACATGTTTCATTGGCAGGCTACGATAATGGGTCCATCGGAAAGCCCTTATTCTGGAGGAGTTTTCCTTGTAACCATCCATTTCCCTCCAGATTACCCATTTAAGCCTCCTAAGGTATAATATTCAACTCTCTATAGCTGCTGCTTCTTTTTCGAAAAAGTTTCGAACTTTACTTCAGCCATCATTGTTCTGTTGCTAATATCTTCCATCGTTTTGAGTTCAATTGTCCGCTATGGTTGCATTGCATGTTCTTCTATGTGGTTTCTTGGTTTCATTTCTCTATTGTATGGTGTGATAAAAATGTAGGTGGCTTTTAGGACGAAGGTGTTCCATCCAAACATTAATAGCAATGGGAGCATCTGTCTCGACATCTTGAAGGAGCAGTGGAGTCCTGCTCTGACCATTTCCAAGGTTTTCTTTTTGTTCTTCCTCATTTTCATTATACGAGAACCATAATTTTGCAGTTTTGCTCTCCATGTAACATCAATTTACTGATATGTGTGATGCAACAGGTGCTGCTATCGATCTGTTCTTTGTTAACGGATCCAAACCCGGATGATCCTTTGGTCCCTGAGATAGCTCACATGTACAAGACAGACAAGAACAAGTACGAGTCCACTGCTCGGACCTGGACCCAAAAGTATGCCATGGGCTGACACAGATGCTGTCCTTGAGGAAGAGCACTAATAATTAAACTCTTCTTATTTCTATGTAATGATCTTTTATAGACTTGTCTGCCTTATCAAATTTGTGAAGACAGGATCAGTAAGAAATCATATGATCTCCATTTTATTCCATTCCATGGAATTATAAAACGTAAATCATCATCCCATCTGCTGTTTCTTTATTGTGTGATTCGTCTCTGTGTTATTTGTTTATCATGGCTGATATTCTTTTGGGTTTAACTCTGTCCAAAGCCCAAACTAGAATCGTAAGCCTTTTCGTTTTCGTAGACATAAGTAGTATTTTCATTTTGGAATTGACATTGATTTATGTAAATGGTTTATGGCCCTAAGAGTAAGGTTGTTCATTAGTTAAAAAATTACTTAAAATTGTGATCCATCTGGAACAATTTAATAAATGGGACAAAGTATCCAAATCCTTTAAAGTTTAAACAATTTAAGATTTGAAAACAAAAAAATATGAAAACTACTAAAACCACCTTTATTCCCAAATAATATACTCAAACGGGTTTAGCCTTGAGTGCTACTAAACATTATGGCATAAAGACCCTTGAAAAAGGTTATTTTTGATGGTATAACCCATTAATATGGCACTTTAGTGTTCAAGGTTCTGTTTCAGTGATGGAGTATAGTACAGTTTAACAAAATGTTTATCCCACGAATTAGATTCCTCTTCGATCGGCACATGTGGTTGCTAAGGCTCGGAGTTTATGAGGTTTGGCGAGGTTTTAAAGCAGTAATCAGGGCTTATCATGTTGAGATTAAGGTTATGATTTATGATTTCACGTTAGGTTGTTAATGATTTATCAAAAAAAATGTTACGAATGCATATTTTGCTTAATGGAAGTGCTAGTCGCCGCTTGTATCTATAATCAATTCAGGTTTGTCTTTTAAAATCTTTTCTCTTCTATAGCCTTTATTATTTTTAGATTTAAATCAAAGTTTATTTTCTTTCTCGAACCTCCAGCTCTTCTATTTCTATATGTTTTGATTTTGGGTTTACCGAGGCTTCCAAGTCCATTCGAATAAGTTTTTTAATGTGTGTTTCACTACTCGAGCACTACTACTGATAAAACTTGTAAATAAATTAAATTAGAACCGAATGGTATATTTCCTTCTAAAGCATTTCAACTACCACTAGTCACTAGATGCACATGTAAAATCAGCATCATATATGGTCTTAGCTAGTGTGGGTAAGCAGTTGCATTGAATAATCTTGTCTTTTACTTCATAATAGTCTATGTTAAATCTGTAATTGTAAAATATATGTATGCAAAGTATATTAATATATGAAACCAAATTGTTTTTTTTTTGGACAGAATGAAACCAAATTGTTTATATAGTAAAGCCTAACGTAGATATTTTTTTCTACGTAGGGGCCACATTAATGTGTTCTACTGTTAGGTATTTCTACTACATAAACCAATTATATTCGTATATGAATACTCATACGTACGAAATTTAATGATCTCTAAACATTTTAGAAAAAAAAAAGCAGTAAAACTTTCTGTTTACTAACCATATATGCATATTGCATATGTTCGTGAGGTATAAGTTCTACAAATAAAAGAACGCCAAAACAGACGAAGATTAAGTGAATGATAAAAACCGTTAAAAATTAGAGTTATATTAAGTTATCCTACCATTTGCATTTGTTTTTCACTAGTTTCGACCTTTTACATGATTCAACAGATTTTCTAATAAGTATCTCACAAATTGGAGTACTATTACAAGAAAAAAAAAGATTCACGTCTAATCCCACTAACCCACCAACGGCAATGTTTCATGTACCAAAAATACGAAAATTATTATTCTTGTTTAGAGATTTGAATCAAGACACAAAGAAGAATAACTTTCTCTTTATTAAGGAAACTAACTCAAAACCTTATTATCTCTCAACTCAATCTCTTAAGCCATACCACACCTTGATATGTGCTTATATATTCACACCCTTTAACCTAATCATAACTCAATTAGGAAAACAATAGAATCTTCTAGATAACTCCTAGAGATTTAACATTTATCTTTATCACAATTTAACATTTATCTTTATCACAAACCGATAACTTGTGGTTTAAGTAAACTCCGGTTTACTCTTCAAGCTTAAACCAACATTCTCCCTCTTAAGCTTGAACTCAAATTTCTCCAAGTCTTGAACTCCAATGAGATCTCTCATCTCTTTAAACTTGATCCTTCCTAAAGCCTTTGTCAAAATATCCGCCTTTTGTTCTTCACCGGGAACATGATCCACCTTAACCAATCCATCCTCAACACATTCTCTTATGAAATGGTACCGTGTATGTATGTGTTTGCTTCGACCGTGGAAAACTGGATTCTTGGTAAGAGCAATGGCCGATTTGTTGTCTATCCAAATAAGAGCTTCCTTGTACGTCACGCCGGTTACTTCTTCAAGCAAATCTTGAAGCCAAATAGCTTGTCTTGCTGCTTCAGTTCCAGCCATAAACTCGGCCTCGCATGATGATAAAGCCACTGTGTCCTGTTTCTGTGAACACCAAGTGATGGGGCTTGAACTTTCACCAAGATAGAAGACATGACCAGTTGTACTCTTCCCATCATCTTGATCCACATTGTGACTACTATCACTGTAGCCTACTAGCTTTGGTATCTTTGAAGCAGACCGTTCATACGCTAAACCAAGAGTAGTAGTTCCTTTGACATACCTCAAGCATTGTTTCATTGCAGCTCCATGTGATTCTCTTGGTGACTGCATGTAACGACTAAGCACACCCACACAATAATTCAGATCCGGTCTTGTATGTAACAAATATCGAAGACAGCCCACACTCTTTCTAAAACTTGTTGCATCAATCTCCTTTTCTTCCTCGGCTTTGCTTAACTTGAGTCCAGCTATCATTGGTGTATGAACCAAGTTACATTCTTTCATATTGGCTTCTTCCAAAATCTTCACAGCATACCGGTGTTGTGTTAGTGTTATTCCTTCTTCCTTTTGACACACTTCAATACCAAGATAATACGTTAATCTTCCGAGATCACTCATTTCAAATTTGGAGGCCATCTCTTCTTTGAATCTCGAAATCACTTTCAAGTTTGACCCTGTCACAAAAAGATCATCCACATATACCGCTACAATGAGAATAAAATTCCCACTCACCATCTTACGATAGACCGATGGCTCCTTTGAACACTTCTCAAATTTGAGCTCCTTGAGAATTTGATTTAGCTTATTATTCCAAGCTCTTGGAGCTTGACGCAGTCCGTACAAAGCCTTATTGAGTTTATAGACTTTGCTCTCACTTCCCTTCTCTTCAAATCCCTCTGGTTGTGTTACATAAACCGTTTCCTTTAACTCACCATGAAGAAACGCCGTTTTAACATCAAGATGATGTATCTCCCATCCATTTGATGCTGCAAGATTAACAAGGAGACGTATTGTCTCAAGCCGAGCTACAGGGGCAAACACTTCGTCAAAATCTACTCCATACTTCTGAACATAACCTTTTGCAACAAGTCGGGCCTTGTGTTTGTTAATACTTCCATCGGAGTTGCGTTTGAGCTTAAAAACCCATTTCAAGCCAATCGGTTTTACTCCAATAGGTAACTCTACAAGATTCCAAGTGTTGTTCTTTGTTATAGAGTGAATCTCATCTTCACATGCTTGTATCCATTCCTTTGATTCACTTGCTTCATAGAAATCTCTTGGTTCATTATTTAACAGTAGGAGTACATGTTCTCCTTCCTCCTCCGCAAGCAACACGTAATCGTCTAAGTATTTCGGCTTTGTGATCTGTCTCTGTGTTCTTCTTGGACTAGGTTGAGCCTGAACGTGATTCTCCTCTGGTTCCGTTTCTTGTGTTGAGTCAAACAAGTCACTGTTATCTTCTACTTCTTCACCCGAATCCTCACTTTGTTCCTTGTCTAGCTCAGTTTCCTCTGTTTGCTCTGCTTGCTCTGTTTCATTATTTCTTCCTTCCTCTTGTATTCCATGGTTTCCAAATTCTCCGAGAGTGATGCTAAAAACTTCATCACTACCATGTTCTGCTTCAGTTTGAGACCAGTTCCAACCTTTTGTTTCATCAAATACAACATCCCGTGATACAACTATTTTTCGGCTTTGAGGATCAAGAAGTCGATAAGCTTTTGATCCTGGTTCTGTCCCGAGGTGAACTAGCATTCGTGACCTGTCATCTAGCTTTCTCAAGTGCGGTGTTTCTACTTTTGCGTACCCAATGCATCCAAATACCCTCAAGTGATCAATGTTTGGTTTCTTCTTGTAGAAAGCTTCATACGGAGTGCTTTGATTTAAGGACCTTGTAGCTATCCTATTCAACAAATATGTGGTGTGACGAATTGTTTCACCCCATAAGTAGTTTGGTATTTTCATGTGCTTCATCATGGTCCTTGTCATCTCCATCATCGTCCTGTTTCGTCTTTCCACCACACCATTCTGTTGGGGTGTGTATGGAGCCGTGAGTTGCCTTTTAATGCCTGAGTCTTCACAGAAACTTTTGAATTCTTGTGATACAAACTCTCCTCCTCTATCTGTTCTGAGTGTTTGTATCCTTTCTCCTGTTTCTTGTTCAACCAACGCCTTGAATTTCTTGAATTTGTTGAATGATTCACTCTTTTCCTTTAATAGGGCTGTCCACATGTATCTCGAATGATCGTCAACAAGCACGAATATGTATCTGTTTCCCGCAGTTGTGCTAGGTGTTATGGGACCACATAAGTCTCCATGTACTAACTCAAGTATCTTGTTAGCTCTAAAGGAAGTCGCTTGAGGGAATACATGTCTTGTTTGCTTTCCAAGTAAGCACGATCCGCAAACTTCTTTCTCAATATTCACTTGTGGAATTCCTCTAACAAGCTCCTTCTTTATCATGGATTTGATCGTTTCAGAATTTATATGTCCCAACCTAGAGTGCCATTTGCTTGATTCGCTTACTGATGTCAACAAGTTCAAGCATGTCATGTCTTTTATTCCCATCTGTACCTTATAGAGCCGATTCTTTGCTCTTGTTGCTTTGACAATCAGTTTCCCTTCTTTGTCATGTATTGTCAGGTTCTCTCCTCTCATTCTCACATCACACCCTGACTCGGTAGCTTGTCCCAAGCTAATGATATT